GGGTTTTCTCTTTGCAACTGAGAAATGCACCTTGCAAAGAAAGCTCCTCGTGGCGGGAAATAATGTAGCAGTGCCGAAGCGCGCGCGCACAAAATCACACCCTTGGGTTGTGACATGGATAACTTGATAGCTTTCTTCCTTATTTTTATTTTTAGGACTATTATATGAACATTAGCTGCTAGCAACAGTTAAAGCATTTAATACCAGCAATATCAATGGCCTTTAAAATACTGCAAACATTAAATTTCCAGCAACAAGTATAATGCTCAGCATCTCTCCCTCAGACTGGGCACAGAAAGCAGGGCATGGATCAGGCCACAACCCATAAGCTTTGGGTAGACAACCTGGAAGCTCAAACCTAGGAGACAATCTCTCTTCAGAAATCACAGGGAATAGCTGAACACAATCTCCTTCTACTTTATGAAGAACCTTTGGTGTGGTTACATGAAAAGCCCCTCCCCTCAAAGAGGAGTAGGGTGACTAGAGAGCAAGCACCACTCATGACTCCCACACTCTGAATACGTAATTTTTATTGTAAACTTACTCTATTATTTCTTTAAAAAGAACATCCAACCTTTAAATAGGTCTTTTCAATAAAGTTATTGTGGCCTAGTACCACCAAAACCATGGAAAGTTCATTCCCACCTCTGCATCCAATTAAAAAAAAAAATGTAAAAGAGAATGGAAACTGATCATCCATAAGACCAAGCTGAAGAGTAATGAACATGGTTCATTACAGACTGTGACTTGAGGCAACTGGAGGCTCAGTCCTCCACAGAGACACTCTGGTAGCCAACCAGAGCATCTTTATGCTGGCCCTCACCCAGGTGTTGAAGCATGTTGCCTGCCCATGCAGAGCAGGGAGCACGCCAGCCGCAGGGAGCTGGACCTGGGCTCCTGCCAGTAAGTAGAGGGTAGGGGACCATGAAGGGACCACACAAATCGGGCAGTGGCAGTTCAGGTGCCAGGCAGCCAGGGCCGGGCCCTGCTGCCCCATGCTGCAGTCCCCCCACAATCCACCCACATCTACCCACACACCCCACATGCTCCCTTTCCATCCTCCTCTTGCATACCCCACATTCCCTCAGCATACACCCTGCATGCCCAGCTGCCAGACAGGATGAGACCTGCTGGCAGGAGCTGTGGCTGCAGGGACAGCTGTCCCCACATCCTGGTTGGTGAAGGGGTCAGGGGGAGCTCTAACTGCTCTATGGTAAGAAAACCAAAGGCAAACAGCAAAACATAGGTATTTAGAACGTATTTTATTATGATAACAGACACACTTGTAGGCTTCCAAATTGCTTTAACACTGTAGATACATCAATAAAACATTGCCCATCTGATCACTGTCTCTCTATAGCGGGTTTTAATTTTAATTGCGGAGGAACATGGATTTCAGGGTATTTTACAGAGTGACTTTGGGATTTTTTTTATCAGGGATTTTTCAGTTTTCAAATAGGGAACATCAGAATTCCTGCTAGGGAGGCAAGTGGCAGGACCCTGCCTGCTCAGAGCTGGCACCTTGGACCCAGCTGGAGGTGGCTGACCTCCTGGCCAGTTGGGACCAGGAGGACATGCTTTGACAGTTCAAAGCAGGCCACCACACTGGGAACATCTTCTGGGTGACAGCTGCCCAGATGGCCAGGCAGGAGGTACACATGGCAGTAGGGCCACACAAAAGTCAACTCTGCAGCCACCGCCCACTGGCAGCCCACTGCACAGCCCACTGCAGCCTCTACTGGTTGTGCAGTCCCCAGCTGGGTCTGGTAGGTGCACAGCATATCACAGCCAGGCAGCAGCTCCCACTGCCAGACTGCTGCAGTGGGTAGAGGATGCAGGGAACTCTCAGGGCTGCTTCAGCAGTCCAGCTGACACAAAGGGTAGTGTCCCCAGGTACCAACTGGCTGGACCCCAGAAGCTCCTGAGAGAGAGTACCCTGAGCTACTTAACAGGGCAGCTTTTATATACAGCTGAAGACAGCACAGGTGCTGGCCCTAGGCTCTAGCGCCCCCCTGGCTGCAGATCTGGGATGAGCCAGGCAGGGTTATTTTGCCCCAAGTGGCACAATTTGCCCCACACCAAAGTGAATGTCTGGGCACATGTGCTGAGGCAGAAAGCCCCAGCTCTAATTTGCACCACTTCTATCTGAGCTGCTGCAAGTGCACATGCTTGTGTGTGTGGACGTGCCCTAAGAGACACTGACTGACCACTCTTTTCTTGCTAACAGGTTTACTAATGTTGGTTTTGAGAGTGAACTTTTGACATTCCTACTGCAAGCAAGAATTGCTTTTGGCACTATTCAAGGATGCTGAGACAGCTTCCCATATATCTGATGGAAAGATACTAGATTCTGCCTTCTCTGGTAGTAGTCATAAAAACAGTGTCACATGTGACCGAGGAAGATTAATCTTCCCTGCAACCCCCATGAATAGCTTATCAAAAAGTCTTGGAATCCGCAGATGAAAGAGCTCAGAAGCCATGTGCTACCCACCACAAAATGCACTTCAAATATGGTAAAAGCTAGATACATGTGGGTCTGGTTTCCTTGGGGTCCAGGGAAGTGTCACCTAGCTTTAAATAGCTTTTGCTTGATATAGTTTTGGAAGTAAGCTGTCGCAGAAATCTGTATCTAGCAATTGCATCATGGATACATTTCAAGCACGGCTTTAGAATATTGTGTTTTGTTGTTTGTTCCTATTCATTTCATAGTCCCTTTGATGAACTCCTGGTGAAGAATGAAGAAATGCTGATAAGAGTTCTGGAATACTGCCACTAGGCTTCCTGTTTTCTTCTGGGTGCAAGGTGTTGGCAATCATCTTCAAAGCACTCAATCTATGGCCATTATCAGAGAGTCTCTCAACCTCTCTCTTGTCACAGCTGCAATAGACTTGCTGTTTAATTTGGGGGTTCAGTTCTCTCAGTAAAGTGCTCTCATTTGAAGCTTTTTGTCCAGCACAACAAGAATTTGGCACTCTCCAGGGGATGATGCAAGACAAAGTTATTTAATCAGACAAAAGCTAAAATCACTCTTTTCCTTCCCTGGAGTCACCTCTACTAGTTCATAGACCAGAACTGTATTCTGGATTTCTGTCCACTGTGTTGTTGGCTGAATCATTACCTGTAGTGTGAACATCTTAAGCATGACTGACTGTCGCACTGTACAATTTTATTCTTCTGTTGTAAGCATATGCTGCAAATATCACTGCATCGAGTCACCCACTGATGTCACTTAACAATAAACCAAGAGACAAAGAAGAGGAGTGGCATCTCATTGTTCATTGGACTTCACTGCCTTGTTTTAGGCACCTTCAGAAGTAGGTACGTTTCCTAAGCAGGTGCTGCTCTTGAAGAGCCTAATTCTTAACAGACAAGGTTCCTTGGGTGAATTTGATATCTTTTATTAGACCAACCCAAGTGGTTGGAGAATAGTTATTAAGCAAGCTTTCGGGTTTAAAAACCCTTCGTCAGGCTAAGGAAGCTTCAGCATTTGGTGTGTGCTCAAGCTTCCTTAGCCTGATGAAGGGTTTTTGAACCCGAAAGCTTGCTTAATAACTATTCTCCAATGCACTCTTATCATTTTCACCAGTTATTTTCTGTTTCTTTCTTCCATGCTCAGATCCATTCATTTGACACGATGCCAACAACAGTAAGATTTCCATCAGCTTCTGATTTCCTGACCTCTCTTAGAGGGCTGGGCTAACAATAAGGTCCAAATGCCTCTTCTCCAGCTGAGTTACCCGCTTGTACTTCATACAATATAAACATTGTTTCCTTGTCAGGCAAAATACAATCCATCTTTCCGGTTGGACTGCCTTCTTCCTGGAGTGTGCTATTCTAACGCTGAATTTCCTGACTTTCATAGACGCTAGGATCAGAAGGGACTCAACAGATCATCAAGTCTGATGCCCTGCCTAGGCAGGAAAGAGGAGTCCAACCCCCTGCTCAGGCAGAAAAGAGTGCTGGGGTGAGATGACCCCAGCCAGATGCCTATTCAGCCTTCTCTTAAAGACCCCCAAGCTAGGGGAGAGCACCACCTCCCTTGGAAGCCCACTCCAAATTTTGGCCACCCTTACCGTGAAGTTCTTCCTGATATCTAGCCTAAATCTGCTCTCTGTCAGTTTGTGACCATTGTTCCTTGTTACCCCAAGAGGCGCCCTGGTGAACAGAGCATCTCCAATCCCTTGCTGTGTTCCCCTAATGAATTTGTAGGTGGCCACAAGATCACTTCTCAGCCTTCTCTTGCAGAGGCTGAAGAGATCCAGGTCCCTCAGTCTCTCCTCATAGGGCTTGTCCTGTAAGCCCCTGACCATATGAGTGGCCCTCCTCTGGACCCTCTCAAGTCTATCAACATCCTTCTTGAAGCACGGCGCCCAAAACTGGACGCAGTGCTCCAACTGTGGTCTGACCAATGCCGCATAGAAGGGAAGTATCACCTCCTTGGATCTATTTGTCATGCATCTGCTGATGCATGATAAAGTGCAGTTAGCTTTGCTGATGATTTCATCACACTGACGACTCACGTTCATCCTGGAGTCTACTATGACTCCGAAATCCCTTTCTGCTTCTGTGCTGCTAAGAGTACAGGTCCAAGGACTGAACCCTGCACTTTGCAGACTTGGCTGTTGCAGCCCCTTTTCTCTCTCTCAGCCTCTCAAAAACTACTTCAGCAAATCACAATTTTACTGCCTTTTACTTGGTTTACTGGGACTCTTCCACTTAAAGCTCCACCCTTGCTCACAGTAATGTTTATTTGCAGAGCTCTGCTCTTCTTGCATGCTATTTTACATAGCTTTTATCTTTATAAGTAATATTCAGATCTCCCAGCATGGAAGACCTTAGTTAAACTCACTGTATTTCTTCCTCACTACTTTGTTTTTTCCCCCAGACACGTGAGGAAGAGTACAGTGGTACCCAAAAAGCTTGTTTATAGCCCTCCCAACTACACAGCTCGTCCAAAAAGGTATCACCCACACATTCTTGCCTCCAAAACAGGATCTGTAATTCCTCAGGGGTCATCTCTTATGTGAGGCCCTGCAAAATTTGTTTTACCAAACAGATCACCTCTGGTCAAAAAGGCTTGTCTAGATGAGAAAGCTGCACCAGTTTCATTTATAGCCATTAAAAAAAAACAATGAACGGAAACAAATGTAACACCTTGTATAGGCACGCTTTAGTTGGTTTACAGGTACACATTTCAGTTTTGCATGCTCTTATAAAAGCATCTGCACGGGATGCATCACTGCATCTTAAAACCACTGTAGCTAAGCCAGCTATAGTTAAATTGGTATAAAACAGAAGTGTAGGCAAGGCTAAACTGATGGAAGCTTGTGCATGATGGAAATAACACTCATTACAGCCCAACATGGGGTTCAAAAGCAATTACTAGCCAAACTATTGCAGGTACTGTAGCTTCTGGATTGTCACGGGCATTCAGCATGTTTTGAAATTAAGTATTTCATTGGTGTCATCTTCCCTACTTTTTTCCCCAATTAGCTAGCAAGTATTCATTGATCTGTAAGCAATTCCTCCATTTGTACATCAGGATCCCTACATCAACAGAAAACAAAGCTAGTGTATAAGTATTCAAGGAGTCTGAGCAACAATGGGAGGGGAGTGGGGGAAAACAGCAGAGAAAACAGAGGGAACTCAAATCTTTTCATTATATGTTTTGTTAAAAAAAAAAAAAAAAAGGGGCAACATAACCAAGCCTTTTTAGGTGCTATCTGGGGAAAAAACTATTAGGCTGGCGTTTGCAGTGGAGCTGAAAAGAGGCCCAGAAATCCAATTGAAATTTAAATGGCATTTAAGGGCCCAGTTTTCTTGGGTTCCTCTCTCAACCCTTAAGTAATAGGAATTTATTAAGAAGAAAACTTGGATATAAATAAAAAAATCCCAAGAAAATCTAGCATCCTCATTTATTAGTTGTATAACGAGAAAGAAGGCACCAGTATGAACTCCTTTCTGTGAGTCCCATAGAACAGATACCATTACAACTCGTGCATATTTCTCATGAAAATTTGGAGAAGTACTTCCTAGCAAACAAGCCAAAGGGCCAATTCCCCGCCATTTACTGGTTCTCCTCCCATCTCTGCAGCCCTGAGACCTTAACTCAGTGGCGCTCCACCTTTTGGCCCATGGACCAGATGAGTGGCACAAGACCAGTCTATGGGCAAGATCAGGCCCTGGGGCCCAGCAGCATCCTCCCCTGCCCCCATGTGCTAGGACTGCACCCTGGAGCTGCCCCCTCCCACCTGATCCAGTGCACAGGGCCCAGGGCTCCCTATGAGTCTGGAAATTTGGCAGCAGGGGAGCAGTGCCACTGTTCCCTTGCCACAACATTTCCAGACCTATGGGGAGCCCCGTGGGTCAGACAACATGGGTGCTTGCAGGCTGGATCTATCCTGCAGGACCGGGGGCTGAACATCCCTGCTCTAACTCTATGCTGCCCTTACAAAGTAAAAGCAGTGGAAAAAGGTGGGGAGGCAACCCATGGCATGAGAAATGGCAGGCTTATTTGGGGGTGGGAGAAGAAACAAGTCAATATTTACTACTAATGTTAATTTGTTCAGTCCTCCTACCCAACAGACTGTAGTGTGACAGTTTGAACTGAGAAATCAAAGTAAGATATGAGAAATCATATCAAGTAGGGGGGAAAAAAAAAGCTATAGGCTGTTAAATCTGAGCAGTTAAACCCATAAATCAATTCACTCCCAAAGTGCTTGACAGCCTACATTTTTACTCCACTAGTGATACAGAAAGCAGAATATAAGGCAAGGAAGCAACTAGTATACCAATAGGAAGATGCTGACCAAGGGCTCTAGGCCCTATTAGGACTTTTCTTCAAATTACTACGGAGCTTGTAGTTTGCACAGAACAGAAGAGGCCTCAAGTTTCAGAGTGTAAGTGTCACACAGAGTAAAATGCACAGAATTCAAGATAGCCACTGCAGCAGGATGAAGGACTGAGTCCACCCAGCCCAAGACTTGAATGTGGGGCTGTAGATTAGCCTAGTATCACTCAGCATTATAAATCAAAGCCAGTAGGTGTTTCCCCCAAGTGACAGAAATACTGTACATGGCAAATTTAAGATATGAATTCAGTCTTAAGGACTCTACTAAGCTCAGCATGGTAATGAAGTGCTGCATTCACTTAACAGTCAACAGTACATGCAAAATGATTGATTAGAATAGAATGGAAGATTCCCATTGTCAGTTAGCTTTTTCTCCCTTCATATTTCAGATCAATAGAACTTTTGTTTAGCTTCCATTAAGGCAAAGAGCAAGGACTTAAAATCTGAAGAGGCTTTAAAGGCTTCGATATCAACTGCTTTGCCTACTCATATTGGTCCTTTGGGATGAAGAAATCAAGCCACCAAATTCAGTAAGCAAGGGATTTGTAGGACAATGAGAGCCTCCCCTTCTGCTTGAGAAATATCAAACATTGAAAATGCCACACACAACCCCAATTACCTATTCATTTCAAGATCATTCAGGCGAGCAGAAAGATCCTCAAGGCGGTTGATTTGTTTGTGGCACTGGCTACAATAAAACTCAAATGCCTCATCTGTGATAATGCTGTGCAGTTTCGCAGCAAGTGGATTGGCGCTAGAGAAATCACAAGTGTCATTTTAACAGGACAGAACACACCGATCTGATTTAGTTTGTGGCTTCCACAAGTTACATGGGTGTTTGAAGGCAAGAGGTGGTAGTAGATCAAGTTTTTAATGCAAGATTTGCAATAAATAATTCTGAGGCAAGTGCAACTGCAAATATTAAGTCCAAATATCACTGAATTCTTAGAAGTGCGACTGAATCACTATTTTCTTGGACTTGCTAGGTCAATGTACTCTACTGCAAGCAAATAATGATTTCCGGCTTCCTGAATGGGAATTATGCCCACTTACAACACAGTGGAATTTGGTACTTTGACTCATTGCTGACACCTGCTAAGGCTGCCATTTTGCATCAATACCTTTGATATCAGTGGAATATTAAGATCATCAGAAACACAGGCCTAACTGATATGCGACTATGATACGCTTGGGTTTGAAAGCCAGATCTCTTTGGTTGGTCATAATTACTTTCCATTCTAAAAAACAGAATTGCACTGTTGCCCTCTTGCTCTACCATAAACGGGCAGGACTTCCATTTTAGAAAGCTCAGCTTTGAAAGAAACTTTAATAAAAATAAGATCAAAGGGCTTAAGCTTTGTAACACTTCAATGTTAATTTTTCTTTTTAAAACTTAAGAGTGCATAAATGCTGGCAGAGTCAGCTTTGCTCTTGTGCTTCAGAGAGACTAGGAAATGTGAGGTCTAAAATTGTTGTTAGTGTTGGGCTATTACGAAAGGTCACTCAGCTTTTGCCCAAGTGACCCATGCAAAATTCACATTGCTAAGGAGTTCAGTGACACTTAGCAAATGAAGCCTTTTTAAGACATTGGCTAAAGTTACTATTAGTTTGATTAAAAGATTTTGAATAGCAAAATGTATATACATTGTGGGATAGACATATGCTGCACAGTCTGTCCCAGTGGAACCCACTTCTGGAAGCCAGAAACTTTAAATTACAGGGAGGTTAACAGTGGGGGAAAACAAGATGACAGAAGTTTAATTGAAAAGAGGCATAGGTAAGGGATGTGAGCATTCAGAAACAAGTTTAAGACACATGAAAAGACCAGTCAACCATAGAGCATAGATTAATACTGTTGTCAAAATGGCCTGCAGGCTGAGAGGTACTTAGTACCCAGAACACCCAGTGAAGTAACTGGGAGGTATAACACAGGCTCAGGCCCTGCACATTTTCTTCTACTGACTTCAAGGAGTTCTCAGAAGCCTCTCTCAGAACTAGGCCTGTGAGTTTCAAATGCTGATGTCTACAGTATTCTTTAACTTGCTTCAATATAGAATTAGATGTCACAGAGCTTTGTTGTTAAGCAGCTCTGAATTATTAAAGCAAATTTTATTTGGGCAATGGGATTCTGAATTTCTACTCCCCCTAGGGCTGATTTTGTTTTGCAAAAAGCATTATTCAGCGGCAGTTACTACAATTGCTATTGCTTTGCAGAACAGTTTGACAGCAGCACTCAGAACAAGGGAAATATCCATTTCAACAGAAATGAATGTTCAATTGTAGTTTCAAACTTTAAAAACAGAAATAAAATAGTTTATTTAGAGAAGTGTGTGCCTCTGAAGTTTTAGCTCAGGCATCTGATCTCAAGTGGAAGATCCAAAGATGTATTTCTCATTAATATAGGCTGCAAGATGCTCAAGTTATATAAAAATATAAATATATTCACTTTGGTAGGGGTGTGACTTATAAGATAGAGTTTCCCAGATTCCCAACCTTAGTTAAAAAAAAGTAGCTTATGAAAATGGGAATACCTCATTAGCCAACAAGGGTGTAAAAGTGTCCACAGGATTAGGTCTGCAATACCAGTGCTTTATGGGTAGTAGCTGTAATATTTTAAATATATTCCAAGCAGCAAAGTTAAACACTAGATTCCCTACCAGTTGGGTAGGTGAAGACCATTGATCTTTAACCTCATTACACATCCAAGATATCCAAATAATCCAGTTTAACAACACAGGCATCATACACCAATACTTCCATAATCACACTGCTTCCCCCTCCCCCGTCCCCCCCCCCATCTTACAGAACACTTATTTTTTACTTTTGCACTTTTTGTTCAGTACTTGCAGCACAAAGCATGTTACTAGACAAGAAAAAGGAACATAGGAAGAACCTTTAAATTTCAGTTTCCATTAATTTTTTTTTTTTTTTTTTTTTAGCAATGAGTGTCTTCTGTTACTGCATTAATGCACCCAAAGAGGTGGCAGGAGCCCAGTGGAGGTTTGTCACAAATGCAAAACAATGAAAGTTTCAATAACACATAGTGGTAGTCTGACTAGTCTTTAGGTACAAGTCTTCCTGAACTGGACCAGAAAGCATTAGTGTTACTCTTGCAATTTAGAAAAGCTGGTAGACATGACTGTTTATAAATTCAAACTGGTTCTTAAATCAAGCAGCTCAGAACAAGAAAATCCAGTACCAACTAGTACACCTTCCAGTTCAGTCAAAAATATAGCACAGCTTTACTAAATCTTTTTTATGTCAGAACATATTTAAGAAATTAGCACATTTTCTGAAAAATTCTAATATAATAAAGGGCTTTGTCTGTCTGTCCATAATGCTTTTGGCCAACTGCGCACGCAATGCCGAGAGGGCGGGTGGCGATTGGCTGTGCAGGTCCAAGTTTGAGCCACTGCCGGGAAAGTTTGTGGAGGCAGCGAACACGCCCCGGGGCTGCCTGAGCAGCAGGGCTTCCCCATGCCTCCCTGCCTGACAGTGAAGGGGGGTGTCATGGCAGCGGTGACGGTGGCAGTGGCACCCCCCCCCACCTGCCCTTGATGCCCCCCAGAACAGTTGGCAGGGAGGGAGAGGCAGTGAGCAGGGAGGGAGGGGGTCATGGTGGCAGCTGTTGTCAGGGTCAGGCGGCAGGGAGGGAGAGAGGGAAGGGAGCGGGAAGGGGCCCCCCCAACAACAGCCAGCAGGAACGGGGATGCTGCATGGGCCCAGGTGGGCACGGGGTCAGGGAGGTCATGGTGGCGGCTGTTGTCAGGACCGGGTGGCAGGGAAGGAAGGAAGGGAAGAGCTAGCAGGGAGGGGAGGGAAGGCAGGGGGAAGCCCTGCTTCGAGGTGGAGGTGGGCAGGGAGGAAGGAGCCTCCACGCGAGAAGCTGGAGGAGGCGGTGGCAGAAGGAGTCTTTATATGGCCGGCCCCGAAGGGTGAGTGGGGGGCCATGTAAACACTCCCTAAAATCCATCATTCTTGACAGGCAATTAGCTAGTCTCTAAATAAAGAGCTTAAAAAATGTACACACAATTATCAGGCAAGAGAGGTGCAAACGTACTCCTGTGGCACATTAAGGTAAAGGGAACCTTTTTTAAACAGCATCTTCTCTCAACATTTAAGTACTTCTGTGGCTTTCAGCCTAATCTCTCTCCCCAACAAGCATCTCTAACAGGTATACAGACTAGTAGTGAAAGACAGCTGAATAAGCTACATCTTCCTTCAGCAGAAGATGCTGTGATGCAGAATATTAAGGGAATCAAAACACAGGGTATACTCAGAGCTACAGTGATTCATGAATAAAACTGAATATTTCTTTGCAAGTGTTTCAGATAGCTTCCAGGCAAACAGTTACAATTCAGGTTTCATTTTGGGGTACAGAATGTGTAATAGTGCAAAAGTAGACAGACAAATGGGACACATCTCTCGTTACTGTGTTAGAGATGAAAAAATGATCTACACTCCATTCTCCCAAAGGCTGAGTGTGCATGAAAAAGAAGTGCCCTGTTCTCTGTAGGTGGTCAAAAGCCTGTTGTCCTCCTGTGTGCAAGCCCTAGGATGGCAAGTCCAGTTCCCAGGGTTAAATGAAATTAAAACTGCTAAACTCACCAGTTAAACAAAGCACCAGAGTGCTTTTCATTGCAACTAAACTATGTGCAAGTGAATTTCACAATGATTTATCCCTTCTCAGATCAATGGAATCCTGGATTGCCTAAGTTTTATTAAGGCTTTGGGAAACTCCAACACAGACAGAAAGCTGGACAGTTCAAAAAGGGGTTTTATAACTGCAAAGGCGACACTACTGAAAAAACACATTTGTGCTAGTATAGGCATCACTACCCCTGAGGGGGAAAAAACCCATTGTGTTATTTTTTCTCACAAATTTAGAGTTATTGTGTTGGTCATTGCTGATATATATTCCCATTTCACACAAATAATAATTTGCCAGGAGAAAATACTGGCTTCTGGCTGGTTAAGTCACACTACAAGATTTTTTTTTTGTTTCGTTTTTTACCACAATGGTCAGATGCAAAGGGTCAGCATCAAGGAGCTCTTCTTGACTGTTACTCTGGTTTTCCAGCTGCATTAATAACGATAGGGCAAGTGACTTGTCCATAATCACATTACTTATTCAGTCAGCCCAGTAGGTAGTTTGATACCAGCACCTTTTTTGTTCCTAGCCATTTCTTCTACTGTGCTACATCACTGCCTCCTTGCAACCTTATTTGTGCTTGCTGGAAGAGCAGAGGGCTATATTAACTAGTGCAAGCCAAGTATCACATGCAAGTCACAAAAGGAAGATTTCTGAATCAAGGAATCAGCAAAAAGCTGGGGTGTCAATTTTCTCTAACAAAGTTTTGGTATTAAATCACACTTCTCACAGGAAAGGAAACATGACATTTTTTCCTGATGCATGTGAAATTAGACTTTTTTCCAGCTGTTGCTGGAGCTATATGCACCTTTGATTAAGAGTGATGAGTTATTACTCAAAAAAGTCTAGGCAACAGATATTCAACTTCTATAAGTGACTAACCAGTTCTACTCCAATGTGTCAGGACTCCTTCTTGTGAGCCATTTTGATGTATAATACCAAAAAAAGGAAACCACACATGCACAAACCCTGGATAAAAAATTCATAATCAAAGGAAGTGAGATTTAACATTGCCAGTACTGGGTTCACTGTTACCTGGGAGAAAGGAAAGAGGAGCCGCTAAAGCTGCTGTCCCCGTTACACAGGCTGTCTGAGAACAAATCTGCTTCATTCCTTTCTCCGTAATCCTCGAAGTGCTCCTCCCCACTAATTACTGTAACGATGGAGTGATTGAGGTCTGAGCTCAAGGGTAGGTCATGTGGGTGGGATCTATTAGAGCAAATAGTAAAAAGAAAGGTGTTAGAATGTTGCCAAGGCAGTCGCCATTCCCATCCTGTGCATTACGCCCACATTTCCAATTGTTCTTTGTTACATGCCAACTTGGTATGAAAGGCTAGTTCTTGAAGCAAGTGGCAATATGATTTGTAGGGCATTTTGAACACCAAAATGTGCAATGCATTTGTTCTACAAGCTTAGCATGCACAGATCAAAATGGGCATCTAATAATTTCTGTGATACAAAGCTGTCTCCCAGCTGCAACATGAAAATTTGGCACAACAAAATTGGTGAAACAATGTATAATTTGGTTCAAAAATACATCTAAGACATGCTCAGCAAGTTGGGCAGAGAAAACAAAGCTTAACGATTCTTGAATGAACATCAACTCTTTTTTTAAATTACAGCCAGCCTACACATTAGGCTGTTATTTCATTTAGTGTTGTGTAATCCTATTAAAAGACCAGTACTAGTGTTTAACATCATAACCCCTCAGTGACACAGATCCCAGCTGTTTATACAAGGCAGCTATTCAAAACATTAATAAAGTTGCCTTTGAATTAGTTGGTAACAAGGAGCCTCTTCTATTTTCCATTTCAAAAATGTTTTAAGCACTCCTAAAAATCTGGAGGCACTGCTGCTTTTTTATGTGGTATTAACATCACATTCACAACCACAGTCTGTTTCACATTATTAAGCCCTCATCTAAATAGGCAACAGATTCATCACTGATATGCCATTGCTTCATTCAATTCATACAGGACATGCAGGTGATCAACAGTCATTAAAAATGTCTTGTTTTACATAACACCATTAGTCTCCAAAGTATTTTATAAACATGAATTCTTTTCATGCACGTGCACATAATGTTGTACTATCTGGCTGCACTCTAATACAGAGATTTTAATGAAATGCTAGAAAAAAAATATATTGTAAGAACCAAGTAGCAGAGAAAATCTAGTATAACCAACTTTGGTTTTATGCTACATTGCAATTTACACAAACCCAGTGAAGAAAAAACCCTCAGATACTACTGTGCTTTTTAGAATTTCAAGGCTGAACAGAAGTCACATGATCTAAGAATTCCAATGTACATGGGAGTTGCCCTCCTATTGTATTATCTTCTTGTAGTAGAAAGTTGCATTGACCCAACAGTAATATTAACTCTAATGAAAACACACACACACACACACACACACACTTTTTTTTTCATTAGATTTAATATATGAGACTTCAGCCTCATTTTGCAGAAAATGAGAAAAATAAAAGTGAGAAATGTGGTTGAATCTGACATCACATAAAAACAGCTTCAGCTTCCTGGAAAACTGCCCATCTTCCCACATACTAAGTTACATCTGTAACCAGGTCCATCAAAACAGTGATGCTCCCAAACTTCTGCCTTTATAGGAATCTCTTACCAAATGAGGTACATGCATGAGCAGAGACTAGCTGGTTCTGATACTCAAGGCACTGCCTTCAACATTAAGTGGAAGACATCAAGAAGACGCAAGACATCAAGAAAGTGCACAGGCAGAGCCAGAAAAGGAGATGAAAAATATTAAAATGCAGGCGGGGGTGGGGAAAGAAAGGTATACTACCCCCCTGCCAGCTAGTATCTTAGCTATGCAGCTCCACTTAAGGACAGACAGAGGCCCTATCCAAGGACTGTATTTAAAACAGATTCCTGCATCATTTCATGAAGACCTACTTGAACTGAAAACTTTAAGACCTAGAGCCACAATAAGCTTTACCAGGAACAGCTTAAGTAGTTGCTTTCATTCATGCAAACTAACCTAGGTACTTAACGATCTTTAATGGCAAATGCCTAAAAAGTAACCTTTAAAATTAAGTGCAAGTCTGGCTAAAAGAGCTAGGTTTAATGAGATTTGTAGCGAGGGACCCATGGAAGCTCACTGGAACTTTGAGACAATTCTCTCAGTGCTCTCTCTCATTGCCTCAAACCCTCCAGACTGCAAATCAAACCAAGTATGGATTCTTCTACGCAATCTGCAATTTTTTAGCTTCCTTTCACATTCTAACTTGAAGCACGAAACTATTTGATTTTATGAAATCCCCATCTATTTAATGCATGAAGTTCTAATCATCCAATCTCCTGTCCTCTTACTTGTAAAAAAGCACTTTAAAAAGAGACTTCCAATTCCCCCATATTTACATCTATTTTTTCTAGTTGCAATTTAATTAAAAAAAAAAAAAGCCTAAGGAAAGGATTGTGTACCTACAGGCAGGTGAGTCCAAGATGTGTCATTTTTCCAGCAGGCCGAGGGGAATGTACACAGGCTGGCATGTTTTGTTGCCTCTCCTTGGTATAACCAGCACTGTTTGGTGGTCTTGCAGCTCAGAAGCTGATTATATACTGAGAGTTAATAATCACTGAGCTGAATACTCTTTGTCAAGGAAAGCACAGCCAGCTAATCTCATTTCTTTTATAATCCATACGGCTAACAGCAAGCACCCTTTCAGCCCCAGTTCAGACTGCCCAGAAACTTTTAGTCCTCTCCCACTCCCTAGCATCCACAGGAGCAGTTGAGGGGAATGGAAAGCTCCCCCCAGCAGTTTTGCAAGTGAAGCAACAGACTTAACTAAGGAAAAACTTAGAATGCTGGTTTGGAGACCTCTGGGCTGAGCTGACCTGCTTCTCACTTGTACAGTGGATATGTTACTTAATAGTCTTTAAGTGATAGAAGTTTAAACAAATCTTTATTTCAAAAGGAACTAAAGTAATTTCCATTGGTAAGGTCATTATAGCTTTCTAATTCTCCCCTACACTCTGCATTGGCATCTTTCATTTTTATTTCTTCTCCCATCCCCAAAACAACCTTCACAGTAGCCTTTGTGGAGGAAGCAAGGCAAGCACAGCGGTTCTTCCAAAGGAATGTCTGTGTTGCTCTAGCAACCATATGGAGGAATGTTTAATCAATGCAAGTACATTTTGGGACAAGAGTCATTAAAGTTGGAATTCAGGTTGTTAACAAATATATTTGCAGTTTAAGATGGAGGGGAAAATTGAAGATGTAAATTTCCATTCATATTCAAAGAGACCCAACACTAAATATACTGCTTGATATGCAATGTTGAACATTTTATTTCACTCTGTTAAGCCTTGTATGATGTGTAAGAACACAGGACCTGAATAGGTAGAAAACAATAACTGGAACACAGGGAGCTGTTAAAGTGTAAACAACTAAGAAGTGTACAAGTGGCAACTGCGAGCATCCATTTCAAAAGGATTACTGCACCAAATTCAAAAGAAATGCAGAGTGCTAACTTTCTAGAATACAGAACTCTTGGACAAAGTTACCAATGCTAAGAAAACACCATTTTTAAAGCTGGAAAGATGAATTATTTTCTCAGTAGAAATTCAGATCAAAAGGCAATTCGCTCTTCGCAGAGTTGTGTTTGCTTTATGCCAGTAGCAAATTTGGCCCCATTGCAGCGATTCTCCTCCTTCTCTCACACATACTTAATCAGAAATGGTCAACACTGACCCGTTCTCTGGTTCCTCTATAGCATCTGTGAACTCTGAGTGCACCGTGGAATCAATAGCACTGTCTGTTTCAACTTCATCATGCATCTCGTGATGTACTAGTGTGCTGGTGTCCTCGTCCGTGAAGGTTTCACACTCGCTGTAAGTGCTCTCTGACCCCATGTAGGCACTGTCAGTCACCTCATTTGCCTGTTATAACAATACAGCAACAAAGAAAGAAACCTATTAGCAAGTCTTTCACTTGGTTTTGTACAGAACAAGAACATCTGAGATGCATTCTAATTGGTTACAGACTGAATTTTACTTTTAAAAGATCAAAAAAAATGCTCCCTTCCTCCACCTCCCCACCATGATAGGAACTGTAAATCCTGCCCAGGTGTGCCATATGCATGGTTGATAAATCACCTACATCTCCCTCATTGAGACATATGGGAAATGACCAAATAATTTCACCAATATAAACAGTTTGGGGCTGTCTAATAGAACCAGAAATGTGGGGTGGAAAATTTTCCAGTGCTTTATTTTTCTATGGGAAATTTTCCAATTTAAAAATTCACTGTTTCATAAAATTCATTAGTAACGATGAATGGATGCCAATACAATATTAGGCAAGCTTGGCAGTTTCAAAGTTGTAACTAATGTTTTTCAGGTGATTAACTCTAGGAAGTATGAGAGTGTACATATATATTTTATGGATTTGTAAACAGGAGGGTAAATGCACTCAAATAATAAATCCAAACCAAAAATCAAGGTATGAATTCACCTAATTGGCTGTGCAGGTCAAATCAAAAATAAAAATTTTAGTTTTGATTGATCTCAGACTGCAAGTGAAAGCAAAACCAAAACTAAAACCTGTGATTAATTTTTGTTTCACTTTCAGTTCAGCAAACACACAGAGCAGTGTCATTTCTTTTCTTGAGTTGGGGAAGCTGAAAGTGTTTGCATAAGGTCTGATAGTTTTTTTAGTGCTTTTGGTTTGAAGTAGTCATAATAATGCCTAATCAGAAAAAAAAACAAAAACAAAAAACCTAGAGTGTGGCATCATTATAGTGACGTTCAAGCCACTCAAGAAAGGAACAAAGTTGGTAGATGTAAATATTACGGGCAGGACTATGTTACCAATGCAACAAGAATGAAGACAAATTTAATAATATGTAGAAGCTGTCCTGAAAGACTACAAGCCATATACAGAAAGCTAATACAACAAAGTGGTGGAAAAGTCTACTTCAGGAATCCTATGTAAGTAAACAAATTAATATGTTAAACACCACACAGTATAGACTAGCATCTATATTGTTTTAAAACATTATACATTTTAAAAGTTGTTAATGCAACTCTGGACTATTATTTAAAAGAGTTGTATCCTGGTTTTCTGCTTGCACTAAGCACCTAAAGTGGCTTAGGCTTAACAATAATTTTTTTTAAATTACATAATAGATAAATAGTTAACTATTTTTCAACCCAGTAGAGTGAGCTTAGTCCTCTGGCCAATGTCACAGGCCAGACTATACTTCCCTTTGGCTCTGCAGTCCCAGGGCAACAGAGCAGCAGGTGGAGCAGCAGTGTTTTTTCTGGCAGGGAGGGGGGAAGCAAGCTCCCTTCTCCTTCAGATGGATGAAGACAGACTAGAATAGGCTAAAATAAAAATCTTTTCCCTCTTTTGTTGCAGGAACTTGGTAGCTCAAGTGAAATAGCAGATTTGCAAAAAAATGGAAAGTGAAAATGTTGAGCTGCCAGGTCTGGGGGAAGCAGCAGCAGGATCCTCACCTTCAAGATCACTGTTACCAGATACGTGATCCACCATGATCACATCACCATCCATCACTGCGCTGGGGAGGAGGATCTTCTCAGCCAGGCTGGCTAACCTACTCGACCTGGCTTTAAACTAAGCCTGCTGGGGGATAGGGAGGGGACTACCGCCACAGCACTGGGCAACTTTTGCAAATCCAGCAGGCTAAGGCACTTAAGGGGACCCACCCCTACCCCAGCCCCATAATGATGTGAAGGGAAGGCAAGGGCCCCCAATGGGACACTTACATGCCTGTACACCAATGCCAGGAGCTTGAGGAATAAACTGGAGGAACTGGTCCTCCTGCTAAACAAGAATGACTATGATCTCATAGGGATAACGGAGACCTTGTGGGACTCCACCTATGACTGGGCCACAGGTACATACCTTATACAGGAGAGATCGTGTGGACAAAATGGGTGGGGGTGTAGCTCTCTCTGTCAAGCAAAGCTACACATCCCTGCAAGCCAACATGGCACCCAGGGTGGATGACTGGAGACTCTCTGGGTTAAAATCCATGGTGAACATGTTACAGGGGACATAATGGTGGGAGTCTATTACAGACCTCCTAGCCAGGATCAAGAGCTCAGCCAGGAATTCACCAGGGAACTGGCTGAGGCTGCACGCTCCCGGTGCATGGTTGTCATGGGAGACTTCAACTACCCAGACATCTCGTAGGAAGAGCACTCACCCAAATCTGGATGGTTAAAAAGCTTCCTTACGTGCATGGATGAACTCTATCCGATTCAAGAAGTCTATGGACCGACAAGAGGCAAAGCATTGCTCAACCTGGTACTGGCAACAGGGGGTGACTTAATCAGCGACCTAACAATCAACGGGAAGCTGGGAGATGGCGACCGTGAGCTGATCACCGTCACCATCCGCCATAAAGCTGGCAAGCCAGTCAGGAATGCAGAAGTCCTCGACTTCAGGAAAGCTGGCTGAAATTCAGGAGGCTTGCTGGCAAGGTCCTAAGGGACCATGACACGAAGGGGAGGGGAGTTCAGGATGAGTGGTTGCTCCTCAAGAGAGCAATCCTGGAAGCACAAACAATGTCTGTCCTGTCTCGGAAGAAAGGCAGCAAAAGGACACAGCAGCCCCCTTGGCTCTGCAGGGAACTAGCAGACCTCCTGCATCTAAAAAGAAAGACCTATAAAAGAATGGAAGACTGGATCCACCTCAAAGGAGGAGTATTCTGCACTGGTCCGCACCTGTAGGGAGCGAACCAGGAAAGCCAAGGCTGCGACTGAACTCCAACTGGCTACATGTATCAAAGACAATAAAAAGTCCTTTTTTAGATATGTGGGGAGCCAGAGGAAAATAAAGGGTAACATGAAACCCCTGCTAAACCAGATGGGACAACTGACAACCGACGCCCAGGAAAAAGCTAACCTGCTTAATGGGTTCTTTGCGTCAGTTTTTCACCAGCCCCAAGGGACGACCCTGCTCAGTACGGTACATGACAGCCAGGGTGAGGGAGAATTGTTACCCTTCATCAATGTAGACCATGTGAAGGAACACCTTGAGAGGCTGGACACCTTCATGTCAGCTGGCCCAGACAGTTTACACCCCAGGGTACTTAAGGAGCTGGCAAGCGTCATAGTTCAGCCAGTGGCACAGATGTTCGAGAACTCGTGGCACTCAGGCAAAGTACCCAAAAATTGGAAAAAGGCCAATGCCTATCTTCAAGAAAGGGAGGAAAGTAGATCCGGGGATCTACAGGCCCATCAGCCTGACCTCTATCCTGGGGAAGATCTTGGAAAAAATTATCAAAGAGACCGTTCTTGACAAACTGGCTGATGGCAACATCCTGAGGGATAGCCAGGACAGGTTTGTTGCAGGTAGGTCTTGCCTGACCAATCTCATCTCCTTCTACGACCAGGTGACCTATCACCTGGACAAGGGAGAAGAGATTGATGTCATATATCTTGATTTTAAAAAAGACTTTGATCTGGTATTCCATGATCAGATCATAGAAAAACTGGCCAACTGCGGCCTCGGCTACATCACAGTCCACTGGCTGGGGAATCGGCTCCGAGGTTGGACCCAGAGGGTGGTGGTTGATAGAAGTCAGTCATTGTGGTGTGCTGTGACCAGTGGGGTCCCCCAAGGTTCTGTCCTTGGGCCTATACTATTCAACATCTTCATTAATGATGTGGACATTGGGGTCAAAAGCGGACTGGCCAAGTTCCCTGTGACACCAAACTTTGGGGTAAGGCATCCACACCTGAGGACAGGACAGTGATCCAGGCTGACCTTGACAGGCTCAGAAAATGGGTGGATGAAAACCTGATGGTGTTCAACACCAAAAAATGCAAGTTACTCCACCTTGGGAAGGAAAACTCCCACAGCATGTGTATAGGCTCGGCAGTGCTACGCTTGCTAGCACTACAGCTGAAAGGGACTTGGGGGTCATGATTGACCACAAGATGAATGAGCCACCAATGTGATGCTGCAGCTAGTAAAGCGAGCAAAACTCTGGCTTGCATCCATAGATGCTTCTCTAGCAAATCCCAGGATGTCATTCTCCCGTTGTACTCGGCCTTGGTGAGGGCGCAGATGGAGTATTGCATCCAATTCTATGAGTAGCTGTTCAAGACAGTCAAGCTTTTTATCAAGCTTTGTGGACAAAATATCAAAAGAAGATCAAGAAAAAGCAGATGAGACATTAGCTTGAGCTATATTTGCAAGTGGTACACCGCTTTCCATAACTGAAAATCAACACTAGAAGGAACATTTCAAACTAATTCACCCATCATATAAAAGTTATCATCACATTATCACTTATCACATTCTCTCTTAGAGAGTATGAAGGAGTTCAAACAATGGTTATTCAAAGGATTGGTCAAGCAGAATAAGTGTCTCTTATATCAGATGGATGGACTGATATACAAGGAAATATTTTATTGAACATTATGTTAGCAACACCTGAACCAATATTGCTGAAAGCAATTGCTACCAAATCTTCTCGTCATGCAGGTGTGAATACATAGCCAAATTTTTAAGTGAAGAGATTGAAAGTGCAGGTCCCTCCAGGGTACAAGCCCTTGTAACTGATAATGCAAGTAGCATGAAAGCTGCATGGCAAATATTAAAGGCAAATTATCCTCATTTAATAGTATTTGGCTGTCTTGCTTGGGGGTTGAATCTTCTGGCAAAGGACATAGTAAGTATGAATACAATGAAGACAATATTGGAAAACTGCAAAGCGATTGTGAAGGTATTCAACCATCATCATGTTGCTAATCAGACTTTGAAGAAATTACAGAAAGAGAAACTGCGGAAGGAAAATGCACTTTTGTTGCCATGTGAAAGTAGATGGAGCTCAGCTACAAAGTGTTTATGTAGTTTGCTGCACACAAAGAACTGTTTGGAGACTGCTTCAATAGATGACACAGTA